ACTTTTTGGTAATCTTAACAAATTTTATAACAAATTATTAAAAAAAATTCAATTTAATGGACAATTTTCATATAAAACGAAGCCAAACGAACACTAAACTTTGATGAAAAAATAGTTTTCGAGCAAAATTTTTTTGTTTTTTACTTTTTGGCAATTGTAACGAATTTCATAACCAATTATAAAAAAAAATATTCACTTTAATGGACAATTTTCATGAAAAATAAAGTCAAACGTGAACAAAAAAATCCAAAATTTGAAGAATTTTTCGGGTGGAAAATTATACAAATCAAACACACTTAATTAACAATTCTTTGAAAAACAATTTCTAGACAATTACTTTCCTTTGAACTCATTTTCTTTCCACTAATTTTCCACCCTTACAATCAAACTGACACTTATTGTCCCTCGAACTGAAGTAATTTACTTGGGTGTCTATAGTACAATGGTTAATCTTCCATGTAATCGCTATGGAGGCACCTTAAAAACAAAAAAATAATGTTATATGTACAAACTGGAGATCATTTTCATGTGATGTGACATATACTATGAAATAAAATTATAAAATCAATTAAACTCTTATTTGGTGGGGATTAAAATCAAATTTTAGTAGATTTTAATAAAAGTTAATGAAACGTTTAAGTGTGATTGTTCTAGCGAAATATGAAATTGACATGAATTAAAGTTTAGTAGTATAATTGAGATTTTGCTAAATATTCAGTGAATATATATGAAATTTGCGCTTGAAATTTTGTACAAAACCCTCCGAGTATAGAAAACAAATATCAATTATCAAATTGCAAAATTTGAGGACGGTCATGAACTATTTTTTTAAACGCTGAGGTGGTTTGTTATTTTAGAAATATAGTATTCTAATAACAATCTCTGGTATTCAACCTTTAAAATATCGCAAGTTGGTTCTTGAATTTTTGATATAGCTGCAAAATTCATCTGCAATAATTCAACTTCAACCCCTCTTAACTAGTTATAGTCATTCAGGGACAAATGAAAAAATTTAGTATGTACACTGGTATTTTAAATAGAGTAATGTTATTCGTAGTCGATAATGTATCAAATAGTTACCTGCCGTGTGTATGTCACTTAGGACAACTGGCGATTACTCGCTAACGTCTATCATAATTTTTTTTAAGAAGTCAACTTAATAAAGTTTGCATTTAACATAAAAGTCATTGAATTAAATTATTTCTTGAAGTTGTTTATGACGAAGTTTTGAAACATAAAATATGTTTGATGCAGTGTGTATTTTTACTGGAATGATCGCCTTCGAGAGAATGAAAGGAAGGAAGTATCTATTTTTCTTCGAAGGAGGTTGACCTTTCATTTGTAATTCTCGCAAATAAAAAATAATGGTCTATCAAAAATTCAACACTCCAAAAACAAATTAAAAAATACAATAAAAAGTTAGCAAGACAACAGCATCCAACAATAAGTTGACAAGACAACAATAATTTAAGTTATCCAATGATAAGTCGATAAGGCAACAACAATTAAGTCAACAATTCATGATAATTTGTCGACGAAGCAATAACAATACACAATAGCAATTAACCAAAAAACGGAAACAATGAAATTGTGATGGCAAACATATTACTAAATGCTAAACGTGCACTGAAAGGCGTGAAATTGAGTGTGAAGCAATCATGCACAACATTGGAGCAACCACCAGCCTATTTTATATGCAGAAAATAAAAAAATCATGATTTCATGTACTANTTTGGGTGGGATTTGTTGCTCGAGGGTTTCCTGTGAAGTTGGGGGAAAATGAACGAAGTGTTGGAGAGCATTGACTCATTTTGGTTTTAGTTTTTGATTTTTTTTAAAATTACAAGCCACGTCAGCATTTTTGAAAACCTGTAAAATGTTGGTAAGTAAACCCTGTACCTATAGCGCGAAAACCTGTAAAATGTTGGTAAGTAAACCCTGTACCTATAGCGCGATCGTTCTCGCAAATAAAAAATAATGGTCTATCAAAAATTCAACACTGCAACAACAAATTCAAAAATACAATAAAAAGCTAGCAAGATAACAACATCCAACGATAAGTTGACAAGACAACAATAATTTAAGTTATCCAATGATAAGTCGATAAGGCAACAACAATTAAGTCAACAATTCATGACACAATAGCAATTAACCAAAAAACGGAAACAATGAAATTGTGATGGCAAACATATTACTAAATGTTAAACGTGCACCGAGGGGCGTGAAATTGAGTGTGAAGCAATCATGCACAACATTAGAGCAACCACCAGCCTATTTTATATGCAGAAAAAAAAAAATCATGATTTCATGTACTANAAAGTTCACTGAAAGGCTTGAAATTGAGTGTGAAGCAATCATGCACATCAATGGAGCTACCACCAGCCTATTTTATATGCAGATAATTAAAAAATCATGATTTCATGTACTACTACTCAATCCAATTAATGCAACAAGCATCGAGTAACTACGAAATTAAGGTTTAACTTTTCAATTGGAGACAATTATACTGAGAGAGAGAGAGAGAGAGAGAGAGATTTTCAAAAAAGTTAATACCAATAAGCTTCGAAATATAAAATTATTTTTCTTTCATTTTCTATACATTTTTCTTGGAACCCAAATGGAGAAACAAAAAAATGGGGTTATAGAAAGAACTTATAAATCAAAGCTTAAATTTTTAGCATCTATTTAATAAATCACTAAAAAATCTTGAAAACCATTGCTAGAAAGTTCAAGAATCAAGTTTTGATTTGATGACGGGTGGACGGAAATCAGAAATGAGCAAGAACGGATTTAGAGGGGACTGGGGCTGTAGCCCCATCCAGTCCTTGACCAATTAATTTTATTTTTGTTAGTGTAAAAATTATTGTAAAAATTATTTTTATGTATAATTTTTTTTTTTTACATATTAATTCGACTTTTAATCTGGTCCTGAATTCGTCTCTACGCACGAGGATAATTTAGAATGGGATTGGGTTTTAAATTTCAACTGAATTATGAATTTAGCTATAAAAATGATAGATTGGTGGGTTTGGATTTATGGCTAGGGACTTGTGCAATTAGTTTATGACTCAGACTTAATTTTTTTTTTGATATGGACTCAGACTTAATTTTTGGGGACACGGCCTACGTGAAAAAAACATGGGGTGGTCCAGCCCCCTGAGTCCGCCTCTGGAGTCGTCGCTCGACAATGTTTTACCCTCCATTTGGGATGGATTATTAAGCAATTTTTTTTTTCATATTTTTTTATGACGAATAGTAATTGTGATCATGAAATGAGTGAATAATAATGAGTAGCAATTTTGATATGTGGTTGAGATTAAAATTTGACTTTGACTCAATAGAAAAAATAGAATTTTTGTGATTGCAACTATGATATGTATTCGCTTTCTCAAAGTCTACTTTCTTGTCTATTAACAAGCTTTTAAGTTCTTGCTAATGGAATATTAGAAGAATTGGATTTAGAATCCTTTCTAAAGTCGATCTCGAATAAATATTCAGACATATTTTCCTTTTCTGCCCTTGCATCAATAACTTTCATCTTAAAAATGGATATTGTTATGACGTAGCCACAAAGACAATCGACAATGAACAAACGTTCTAATTTTATAAGAACTTCTTGTAGTGTCTGGATGATGCAAAAAGCAATAATGCAAATGAATGCACAAGTAGATTTACGATTTCCTTTTCACTATTTTATGGTTGCAGCGCATTTGTTTGATCACTATCTTCAACAAAACCATATATAAAAGCCAACTCAATGTAAGTATTATGACTTTTGTTATAGGTCCAATCGATTATGGACAAACACTTTTATTATATATAATCGATGCGTTTCGTATATGGCAAATCTATTATTTAATTGAAATTAATATTCTAATAAATTAAATGATAAAATAAATAGATTCAAATCTTGATAATTTTTTAATCACAAAGAGTTGTGATTGTAAAAAATAAATTACATATGACTGAATTTTAAATCATCCATGATCGTAATTAATAACAAGATACAAATATCGTTATAACGAATATGCTATGACATTTCTTACTTGTGAAGTAAGTAAATGATTTCACAAGCTAAACTGGGTTGACACTTCAATGAACACGTGAATATTTTATTATAAAACAAAATATTGGAGATCCATTGGGGAGATTCCACATGTATAACTATTTGAGTGTCAGTCGTTAATCTCTAACGTTCGGTAGTGAAATTGATTTTTCGACTTGAGGTCATTATAGTGCCTTATATGATAGCAATCACACTTTAATGATATTAGATGTTGCTATGCCAATGATCGATAATACGGCATCGTTCGGATTTGTCAAGAACCATATGAAAGTTGTGAATGATCAATAGATGATTCGTCACTCTTAGATAATAAGAGATTATGATTTACGTGTTTGATGGAAATTATCGAGAAAAATAATGTATTTTAAATAGTGATATGATGAGAAATATGTGATTAAAAGGTAAGGAAAAATTATTGATGTGATAGAAAATATTATTTTATTAAAAAATGCGTAGTTGAA